ATAAAAATGACAAGGCTAAGTAATGTAATGTAATGCTAACTAACATGCTCGCTACTAGCTAGGTAGCTAACTTGACTATGTTCCATGCAAAACATGTATATTACCTGATATGTTTGGTCCAACGACTCCTGGTCTTTTCATAAGACGGGAAGCGATAGAACGAGCAAGTGGTATGATCTCTTTTGTGATTACAACCTGGTACAAAGCACATAGGCATCTTGTAAAAGTGCATTTATTGGAGCAATCTCTTATATTTATTGGAAGGAATAAATCAGTCTTCTTCTTCCTCTTTGCTTTGCGAGTCGCAACCAGTCTTGGAGCATTATCGCCTATGACATCACTTACGCGACCCAGAATGTATTTGGGATTTGTAGTCTTTCTAGTTGCGTATTTTTCATAGTCTTATATTTCAACAGTTTTACGACAAACTGTGACTTTTTTTTACATGGAAATGATTGTTTAAGATTGACAAACATCATATGTGTCATTCGTGGCACAATTCAAAACGGGATCAAAAGATAACTTTTCTCTCTCCATTGACTTCAATGTATAATTTTCCGCTTCCGGGGTCCCATGGAAGCTCCCGGAAGGGGAGGGACTTCGCCTCTCTATTTGGAGCAGGCTGGAGTAGGCGGGAGTTGAACTCTGACGTCAGTGTCGAGCCGTTAGTGGCCGACTCCGCCTACTTAGGGCTTCTCGGCAACTCTGCAGAATCCTATGGGTGACGTCACGGACCCTACGTCCATTTAGAGTCTATGGTTCAACCTATGGTTCAAACCTAGTTCTAACGTAACGTCTTAGAACGCAAAATGTCCCTTACACTGTGGCCAAGCTGATGCATATCCTCAATTCGGCCTATTACCCGGAGTGAAGCTTTGAAGAAATTCTCCAGTGTTGACAGAAACTGGTCTGTCCACCTTTTTCCTCATTTCCCGCCCCGCCCTCCCTTCCCTGTTCACCAATGGGGATATCACTGTGCCACCTGTGGAGAGAAACATGTGTTAGGTTAAATCGAAGAGGCAGCTTTCCGCTCCTTACATGCTGCAGGATCCATCCCTTCACTCACCAGGATAGCTTACCAACCTGACAAGAGCAAGAAATGGAGCTGTTTTTATTTATTAATAGATGCTTACATTTGAACTGCTATCAAATATAGTTAAATGCATGTAAGCACGTAGGTAAGAGAAGACTTAATTGCTTGTTTTGCCTGAGAGGTTCAATAGAACCAGCCTCTTACACGCCTAGTTTTCTCAGTCTCCCACACAAACTTACCTGCACTAACTAGAAAGTCCAGTTTCTCCAGCAAGTCCTAGAGAACACCGGAGAGTCCTGGAGGCAACATGGACCTGGACAGGTAAGACATATTACATTCAAATTGCGAGCAATAACATTTACTAGTGCTAGGAATATTTTAGATGTCTTTTGTCTCTTTGTTCTATCATAGCCTGACATGTATTTAATAGGATTAATTAATTAACTCATTTTATATGTAGTACCACAGCTTGATAAGAATCCTGTCTTATCAAGCTGTGGTACTACATATAAAATGACATATCACATAATCAATATAACTATATAATAGTAAAGTGTATTTTTTTTAATTGAATGGGCTCTAGTTAAGCGATATATTTTTGATATGTTCAATTTTTAGTAGAAAAACCTTTTACTTTACAGTAAATAACATATATATATATAGAAATAACTCTCGTGTCACCCTGATGTTTACAGAACACGTTTCTGTTGTGTATTTATAATATACTGAAGTGAACATAACATAAACTCCCCTCACATAGAGTGGACAATTGAATTGAAGTTTGGTGAGAAACAGCCTGGGGCACAATTGGTGGCTTGGCAGACGCAGCAGCTGCTAATGACAGGCTGGCTTTGCAGTGACAACATGGCTTGATCGCTCTCTTCCCGTTGTCCTGTGGCCCTCTCAGTAAACGGCTGGTGGTGGTGGTACCAAAGGAAGTGCTGGCGCCGTCTCGCAGAGTGTTCAGTGGCGAGGATGAGACGTGGAAGAGCTACCTAGAGAACCCCCTGACTGCTGCCACCAAGGCCATGATGAGCATCAACGGAGACGAGGACAGTGCCGCAGCTCTGGGACTGCTGTACGACTACTACAAGGTGTGGAAAGTGTGACATCACAGCCAATTTACCAATGACATAACTGGGCTTGACAATAACAGTTTCCAGGTTGCCTTTGTAAACTTTAAAATTAATTGGCAAACAATTACTGGCCAATGGTTGACGTCAGTGGCAAATATGGACTTAAAAATACATACTGTATGTGGTGTTACAGTCCGAACTGAAACCAGACAACGTTGCATATGCGTTTACTCTCGTGCACTATACTTTGCTCACTAATTGACACGTTTGATGGACTTTGAACGTATAGTTTCTAATTTATTCCAAATATAAAGTGTTTAAATACATTCTGATTTGTTTTTAACACATTTTGTGTGTTTGCTTTAACCCTATCAGGTATCCAGAGAGAGGAGAGAGGGCTCCAGTGGAGTCAAACCCACAGAGCCCTCTGCTGATGGGCCAGATGACGGCGGCAGCTTGGAGATGTTAGATCCCCATGTTCAGGCTCTCAGATCCATGCCTGTCAACCTCTCACTAAACAACGGCAACACTGCAGAACACCAGGGCTCCAGGTTTGGAGAGACCAGAGGAGGAAATGGTAAAGGTGGTTCAGCTCTGCCTCTGGTCAAGACCGAGGGCCACACATCTATGGGAGTTCACTGCTTTGGAGGTTCCTACCGAGAAGAACCCAGAGAGCAGACAAGGATGGTTTACGAGCAGAGCCACTACTATTTGTCCCGTGCTGGGTTCTTGAAAAATGAACAAAGAAGCAGTCCAAACAATATATATGAGGATGCTGTGGAAGGAGAGGTGAGACTTTTCATACAAGGGGGTGAGGTGGAGGTGATCATGTGTCTCGCTTTGTAAGCCAGGATCACATTTGTAGGATTGTTTTGCTCCATCAGTGGCAGTATGCAGCATTTCTTCTTCTGAAGCACAGTAAATATTCTTCTTTAACAGATATACAACAGAAGTCCCTCCTCAGGAGATGAATTCCACTACAGCACACCGACGTAAGTCAAAATTCACAGATAGGTACAAACGTTAAACCTACATATTTTTCAGGGACATAAGCACAAAATGAAAAAGTTGAGAAATTAATATCAGAATAGAAAAGATATATAAATATGAAAATCATCATATTGCCCAGCATGCATGGATCAGTGTACGTGCGGTCTTGTTTTGGGGACAATCTTTTGTTCTATGGCCCAGAGGAATGAGATATATCAAGCTTTCAATACTCACAAAATACTTTTTTGGTTCTGGGATTTTCCTGGGTATTTGCCGAAAAAAAAAAAAAAAAATACCAGACTTGTCAAATAAAGAGTTGCTGTTGTATGAGAGAACCTTTTAATACATAACAAAATCAGTTTGTTTAGAGCCTCATGGTCCATGTCTTGCTTTCTTTGAATGCTGTTTGTAGTATTGTACCAAGAGATACTGTATTTTTATTAAATCTGCTCCTCACATGTTCATGTTCAGTGACGACTTCCAGTACTGTCTGGAGGCCAGCATGTCGCTGAGGCCGCGGCAGGGGGAGGGGCCCATGGCCTACATGAACCGGGGCCAGTTCTACGCTTTGACACTGTCCAAGGCCAACTGCAAATCGTCAATAAATCAGCATAAAGGCAAAGTGCGGGTGAGTGGACCAGCGCCTGATGGGGGCCCATCCAGTAATGAGCAATGCGCCAGGGGAGGCTCTGAGCTGCAGCGGGGCAGTATTGTTCAGGTGAGGGAGGAGGGGGGGTCATGGAGAGGAAGCATAGGTTACAGTTCAGGGTTTTACTTTCAGCTTATTGTTGAGGAGCTTTAAATCTTGTTAAACTTACAAATGTAATATTAGTTTTTATAAAGTATTACTCCTTTGAACTTCTTTTAATGTATTATATCTTGTGTTTCTACTTCAGAGTGTTATCATGGTTGTCTTTGGAGAAGACAAGTGCAGAGACGAGCAGCTGAAGAATTGGAAATACTGGCACTCCCGCCAGCACACTGCCAAACAGAGGGTCCTGGACATCGGTGAGCTCTTCCTGCTACACTCATGGCTTGATGGGGTTTTAAGTAAAACCGGAATTACTAAATTACAAAAGGAATTTAATGTCACACTTACAGATATTATGACAGCAGAGCTCCACAAAATCAGAGAGTTAAAAAGAGAGTAAGTAGGTGATAAACCTGGAGGAGCCTTCAGCAGGATCCTGTCACATATCCTGAGGGGAAACCTGACACAATTTGAATAACTGTCAATCCACGATTCCCACAAAAGCAATAAACGGCCAATGGGTCTGCATTTGCATAGGCGTTAACGGGTGAAATAGGTGGGGGCCTGGACTGAAGCCAGAGGCAGGCCTCAACCTGTGGTTGAAAACTTGATGGAATGTGGCAGAGGTATCAGACTCTGGTGGTTTTCTCTGTTGTAAGTTCATGCCAGAATAGTATTAACTTTAAAATATATAATCTTTCTTATGTGGGTGAAAATAGGCCCATTTGATGAGGAATTGAGACTTTTTGGAGGTAACAATTTCAATGTTGGAATGTTTGCTAATTTGCAACTTGATTTGTTGGCGAAATTGTTTGACCGAAGAAATATGATCGATGAACTTAAAAATATGAATGTAAACTGATGAACTGGAAATGAAACCAGATGTTGGTAGTAGTTCCACTTGGTTTATTTTCATTAAAAGAAAGGGCTCGAGTTCCAAAGGGGTAAAGGTCTCCAATATTTCCCAAAAAGCAAAGAGTAAACATAAATAGTTAGTACATCCTCCGACTGGTTTTGTGACCTTTTTAGAGAGACAGATCTTCAGCTGCCAAAAAGTATAACGGTTCCACCATTCAGCTACACAAAATAAAAACGCCTGCTTATGCTTAATAATGAGTAAAATATATTCTGTTGTTTGTAGGGATATCACAAGAACCATGTATGGGTACCTCGTCGATGCTAACATTTAAAAAAAGACTTGACAGTAATATTTTTTTCTACAGAACTGCATGCACCATAATATTTTGTAGTACCATCAGGACTCAAGACAAGTGGCGTTCTGTCCTCCCGTGGCAGATGGAACCTGTGTTGGGGCGCATAAATCTCACTATCTATGCATCCAGGGGACGCACCTCTTACAAAAAAATGAACAGTCTATACTTTTAATGGTAGGTTTATTTGAGCAGTGAGAGTAAGAATATCAGAAAGAAAATCCAGAAATTGACATTATATGAAAGATCAAAATTGATTTGCATTTAACTTTGGGAAATAAGTATTTGATCCCCTAGCGAAACATGTGATAGTACTTGGCGGAGAAACCCTTGTTGGACACACAGAGGTCAGACCCTTCTTGTAGTTGGTCTCCAGGTTTGTGCACATCTCAGGAAGGATGTTGGTCTACTCCTCTCTGAAGATCCTCTCCAAAACCTGAAGGTTTTGAGGCTGACGGCCCGTCTACACTACAGGCATCGAAAAATGCTTTAAACGCTTCGCCCATTAACTTGAATGGGGTGACGTAGAAGATTTTTAATCTTCGCCGAACTGCATTGTGGGGAGCATGGCATGGCTTTGCAAGCATCACGAGCATCTATCGGCATCAAAAGTTGAACAATGTTCAACTTTTGAGGCTCGATGCTTGGCATCAGCCAATCAAATCCCGTTTATGCAATTCCTGCCAGTACAAGCACTAGCCAATCAAACCGCGTGTATGCTGATACCGCAGGTCTTGACTATTTTCCATATGTCATAAAATGGAGGATAAATTAATCATTGCCGTGGCAAGTGTCCCAGTCCTGTATGACTGTACTCTGTTCACCTACCGGGACCTAAACCGGAGGCACCGCGGGAGGTGGCAGAGACAGTTGGTGAAACTGGTAGGTTTTCAACTGTTTGGGAGTTTATATCCAGTTTACTTCGTTGAGAAGCTGGCTTTTTTTGCTTTGTATGCC